CCCCGCCGCCGCTGGCCCCGCCGCCGGCGTTCGGCGTGGGCGAGGCGGGCCGGGCGGACGGGAGCGTGGGCGCGGGCGCGGCGGGGCGGGACTGGCAAGCGCAAGAGAGGTGGGCAGGTTTGATCAACGTGGAAAAACAGAATTTCAGTACGGGTTGTCCATGCAAACGTGTAAACGTGCCTCAACCGCCCATCCTGTGTGATTGCTGCTTTTCCGTCCACCTCTTCTCATAATTGCCGCTCCCGCCCGCCCTGTCGCTGCCCTCAAGCCACTCAACCCCTGCACCTCGAACCCCTCTCCAAAGGCCTCACCACCAAGCTTCGCACTCCTGGGACGAGGGCGCCCATCACCACCACCACCACCAGCAGCAGCAGCAGCAGCAGCAGCAGGCGCCCCCGCAGTACCAGCAGCACCACGCGCAGGCGCACGAGCAGCAGCAGCAGCAGTTGAGCACCCACGCGCCCGCGCACGAGCAGCGCCGCTCGGACGGCGGCGCGGCGCTGTCGGGCTTTGCCCATCTTGCGCAGGGCGGCGGCAGCCCCTCAGACCCCACCTCCTGGCAGCAGCAGCACGGCGGCGGCGGCGGCGCGCCTTACATGCAGCGCACGCATTCGGCCCCCGGGCCCCAAGGGGTGGGCGCCGGTGCGGCCGCCGGCCCCGACGACCGCGTGCCGCCGCAGCGGGCGGTCGAGCCGCGTCCAGGCGGGGTGCGTGGCGGCCCGGGCGTCGCGCTTCCTTCTCCGCAGCACCCGCCCCCGCCAGGCGCACTGTTTGGTGGCGGCGGCGGCGGCGGCCGCACCTACAGCGATCAGGACGTGCGGAGCGGCGGCGGCTCGCACGCGCTGCGGCCGGGCCCCTCGTCGGCGCCGCAGCAGAGGCAGCAGCCCCGGCAGGGCGCCGCGGCGGGCGGGGGCTGGCAGCCGGCGCCGCCACAGGGCCCGCAGGACCAGGGCCAGCAGCAGGCGGTGCATCACCATCAGCAGCAGCAGCAATCGTTGTTCCACCACCAGCAGCAGCAGCAGCAGCAGCAGCAGCAGCAACACAGCCAGGCCGCAGGGGCCGAGCAGCGGTACAATCTGGAGCCTCCGCCACCTCAGCAGCAGCAGCAGCAGCAGCAGCGGGCGTCCCCCGACAGCCGCCGCCACGACCAGGCGCCCAGCCGCCCCATCCTCGTCCCGCAGGGCGACAAGGCCCGCGCCGCCGCCGCCGCCGCCGCCCCCGCCGCGGGCGGCGACGACGCCCGCGGCGGCGGCGGCGGCGGGTGCGGCGAGGAGGAGGGGCAGCCGGGGAGCGCGTCGTTCCTGGGGTTGGACCGGGCGCCCAGCGGGAGCCTGCAGGGCAGCCTGCTGCCCCTCCTGAAGGAGATCTGGCAGAGATGAGATGAGATCGAGCTGAAGGTTACGGGCGTGCGCCGAACGCCCGGGCATGGCAGGCGGGCGATCCTGCCGGCGCTCACATGGCAGGAGAGAGAGAGAGAGACAAAGAGCGCGCGAGGGGGCATCGCTGCGGCGGATGGCGGCGCACGGCCGGACGGCAGGCGCAGCGCTGCCTTTGCCAGGCCTGCGCCGGCGCTGTCGCGCCGCCTGTCTGAGTCCCCAGCAGTGACCTGTTGCGAACGCCTGCTGGGCAGGCGGGTGGTGTGCGCTGGGCTCCCTCTGCGCCCCCACCCCCCCTCTTGACATCCCCTTCCCCCTTGCCGCTGCCCCAACTCAGCCCCATGCCCGCATCCGGCGCGGGCCCGGCCCCTCCTCTACCCTCAACTCCCGGCCGGCCGCAGGCTGCCGCGGCACGCGGTTCGGCGTTGTCGCCGCGCCCCGCCCAACGTCTCTTGCTTTGTGATCGCTGTCTTAAACCCTGATGGGGCCGCCACCATCCCGGTCCAGTCCTCAAGCCCTGTTCCCCTGCCCCCTCCACCTTGCGTTGACCTAGGGCTGACCCTCCACAGGGCCCCACCTACCCCCCATGCATGTGCACGCACACGAACTCACTCCGCCACACAAACAGCCACACACGCACCACGTTGCCCCCATCCCGCGGCCGGCCGCCACTTTGGTTACTGTTGGCTCAGAAGAAGACGGGGAATATGAGATGATAAGCCTGGGCTCGTCGTGCAGCCGCCATCCCAGTGCACCCACTCGCACGCGGACCCGCCCCCCACCGCGGCCGAGGCCTGCGGCAGGCGCGGGCGCCGCCTCGTTTCATCGCTGTGTTTTCCTTGCCCCCCCGTCGGACCCTCTCTGTTTTGTCTTGGGTTGCTCCCATACAAGGAAACTCCCCAGGGCTTGGACCGCCGCCCCCCGCTGCCGCCGCTTGTTTGTCGCAAACGGCCGCAGCCCCTTGGTGCAGCGACCCCCACCGCGGCGAATCTCTGTATTTTCTCTCGACCCCGTCCTGGACTGAGTGCGACGATTGTTTGCGGGGCTTGGGACGCACCCCAAAGCACAGGTCAGGCTGCAAGGGACGCAGCGGCGGCGGCGTCTTCGTTGCCGAGCGTCCCACATTCACTTCTCTTGATGTCGGCAGCCCTGCGACCCCCTTTCCTCTCCGTCCCCACTACGGCCTTGTACAGGCTCATGCCCTGGCCTGCTTCGCCCGAACACAGGCCCCAGCCCCGGAACAAGTCACACCAACCAGACTCCACGACACAGCAGCCCGCCGGGCCCTGCCGCCTGGCTGGTCCACCTCGCGGAGCGCCGCCGCACGGCCAGGCGCCCTGCCCGCCCGCGCGGCACGCGGCCGCCGCGGCGGGCAGGCAGGGGGTTGCACTCGTGGCGCGGGCCGGCCCCGTGCATTCCCAGACCTTTCTGCCCCCACCACCCGTCGCCCTTGGAGGGGAGCCGGCGCGGCGCGCCTCGCTCGGCCCCGCTGGGCCCTGGGCCCTGCTGCCATGCGGCGCGGCGTGGCTGTGGGCTGTTGTGATCTATTGCCCTCTTCTGCCGCCAGTCTCGCCCCGTCCGTTTCCATATTTAACCCCCTCCCGTTTGCATACTGAAGCCCCTGCGGGGCTGATGCGCGCCGCGGCTCCAAAGGTGCGCCCGGCAGGCAGGTGGGCAGGCGGGTCTGCAGGCAGGCACAAGCAGGGTTTGAGCAGCGCGGGGGCTGCCGGCCCTCAGGCAGCCAGCAGGAGTGCCACTGGCCTCGGCCGCATCAATCTGGCCCATATGAAGCCCCTTTCGCACCTATACCAGCAATCCGCTCATGGATGTGGTTTGGCCGTTTATTTGCAGGCGGACAGGCCCGCTTTTTGGCTGCGGCGCACGGCTGCCACCGGCGGCCGCAGACCCTCTCTAGCAGTGTAAGCGCGCCTTGAAATCCGGCTGCCCCAGGGACTACGCGGGCGCGGCGTCAGCTGCAGCGCCATGTGCAAACGTGGGAGCGGCGGGGCCGCGCGTGCCATCAGGGGGGACCCGCTGTCAGGGCCGGGGCGGGCGGCAGCAGGGTACAGTATGCTGGGCCGCTGCTGCCACACGCGGGGCATCAACCATGTCCAGGAATGCCATCAGATACAAAGTTTGGGACGACTTTGAATTCAAACAAGTTGCTGTTAGGTTTGTTTGCAGGTGTCAAGTTCGCCACCAGCCAGTGTTCACCGCGCCCGCCGCAAGGCGCGCTCGGGGCTGCGGGGGCAGCAGCGGGGCAGATCCACGAGGGCCCAGCCGGGGCTGTTCGGCTGCTGCCAGCTGGCATGCTCGCGCGGCAGCGGGTGCCGCCTGCTTGGGTTGCCTTACCCTGTGTGCACACACACGCGCACTCACACGCGCACACACACAAACACACGCACGCACACGCGCGTGCGCGCGAACACACACACACACACACACACACACACACACACACACATGCGAAACCCCCCACCCACCCACACACACACACACGCACACACACACACACACACACACACACAAACACACACATGGAAGCACACGCATGCGCACGCGTGCGTTGACCCATCTGCACTGCCCTCATTGGCAGCTACCATGCCATGCAGCCTGCTGGGACGTCACCTTTATTGCGACAAAACCAGACGTTTATTCTTGTCTGCTTGTCAGGAAGCAGCATCCTCCTGCAAAACACAATATTATCGGAAAAAGAGATACGATGCATGCCCCCACCAGCAAGTCAACCCAACGACAAGCCTCCCCCACCGCCCACCCGTTACTCGGGCGGCAGCGCTGGCCAGGCGCCCTCCCCCGCCGCAGCCGCGGCCGCCGCCGCTGCTGCCGCCGCCGCCGCGACCGCCGCGGCCGCCAGGTCCCGCTCCGCCCCCTCCCTTGCCGCAGCGGCCCGCCC